AAAAAACAACTTTTGGCTAAAGTTTTAAAGTTAAAAGTAAACACCATGCTGAGTAAACCCATCTTAATGGGATAAAGCCCCTTTTAAATTAAAGCTCTGATAATCAATTAACCCCTTCTAATTTGGTGATTACCAAAATGGAGCAACATGGTAACTACTACTGTGCAAACGTTTCAAGCCACCCCTCATTTCTTTATACTTTGCTTGGAAAATGGGAAATAGGTGCAGCGATTTATAGGAACATGCAAAACACTATTTAAATGTAAAAAGAGTTTTTGCAATTCTAATAAGTCTGTTTTACCAATTATTGACTTTCAGACTTTATTCTTCAACACAGATAGCCTTAGCTGTCTTAGGCAATCTTGACATGTCTCTAAGTAGTCTTCAGGAATAGTTCTCTGGGCTTCTTGAAGGACATTCAAAGCTTCTTGTTTGGTTGTGCCCTGCCTTTTCATCTACCACACACCTTTCTCCGTTTCCCTTCCTTAAAAAAATTCTTCTTGACTGCCACCCTTCAACCGGGACCATTTCTGATGAGGCTTCAGTGAATTCAGCAGATTGATTATCTCATGTCCTTTGCTGCATTTTCCCCTCTTCTTATGGCTTCTTATGACTTGCAGATACTGTTCATCTGCTCTAGATATTATTTTGGGGGCCTAACACTTGTCACTTTTTTCCTCTGCTTGTCCAGTTTCCTCAAATTTTTTAAGACCACACTGCACCTGACACTGAGAAGACCCAGGCAATTGGCTAATAAGAATCACATTGTTGGTGCACAGTAACCATTTTATGCCTGTCAACATGATTTGGCATTTTTCATAGATTCAAGCAAAGACAGTCAAACAAATGTGTTTTTGCGACAGGCTGCTAGTAATAAAATCGCCTAAAGATACAATTTAAAACTGGTTCTTTGCGTAGTGTAGACGCAGCACTGGTTCATTCCTTGAGTTAGCTCCCTTTTTAATCCCTGAATAAGTGGCTTACCAAAAATATTCCTCTGAAAATGGTCAGCTACAAGGACTGGACCAAAAATGTGTGGAAAAAGTAGCCAATGTCCAAAGAAAACTTTCAGGAAGACTTTCAGGAAGCCTGGAGAAATATTGCTGAAGACTACTTTAAAACATGACTAGAAAGTCTTGTAAGGAAGCAAAATCTAAAGAAATGAAGGATTTTTTTTTTCTTACTGTCAGTAGGTGCCATTTCTGACAGTATCTCTTCTGAGACTGCACTCAAAATGACATAAAATAAACTGTCTAACTTAGAGGAAATCCATTTGTCTGTGTTCAAGTGTTCAAACATATTAGCTTATTAACTTTTTTTTTATACAATAAAAAAGTTACAAGTATGGTCCCTGAAGTTTTCACACTGTTATTCAAGTCCATGTAAATTTCCAGGGTTTGTGTGCAGGATTACATCCAAAACCTTGCTGATTTGTCACCAGGGAGCAGAAAGCCAGAGTGTAAAAGACTGCAGTGTGGTGTACTGCGGTGCAGTCTTGGCGGTACACCTTCCACATGGGAAAACTAAAAGGTCACCAGTGTTACTTGTGTTCCTTTCATCCATGAAATTTTAAAAGTTATCTCCTGCTAACACCTCTGCCAAAATGTTACTTTGCCAAGCTGCTCGTCTAAGCAGGTATTGTGGAATGTGACTATCTGACAGGCTGGCTTCAAAATGATTGTACATTACTCTAATACAAGAGCTAGCATGGCACTGAGACGAGACGGATTTTCCAGCCTGTCTTTTCCGCAGTGGCAACCAAATTGTTTTCCCTCCTCCCGTCTGTCTTCCCTCATTTTCTTGCTTTGCTACTTCCTCATTGATTTATTCTCTATCTGCTTGTCCGCAGCCCACCGTGAGCCACTCTCTTGTTCCTGCATCCCACCTGAGACGCAAGGTGAGACAAAACAGCCACATAAACACCCTCTCTGCCACACAACAAATGCACACGCACATAAAAGGCAGTCTGCTCTCCTCAATTTTCAGCAGTGTCCTTACCCAAAGTGGCCCCCTAAAACACCTCCCCCAGTGCTCTCATTCACACTCTGTGCCTCTCTCACCTTCACACACATGTCCACGCCCACCCTTGCATCAAAAAGTCTCCCCTTTTCTCCCTCCACACTTATAGTGGCACAAAAGGGAACAGGAAAGCACATGCTTACATCTTTTCTTTCATCCCCTGCCTCGGGACACCTAAAAAGGATGCTTTGGGCCTACATCAAGACTATTCCCTTTAATCGAGCCCTTTTCAACCTATTTGTCCAAGTATGACAGATTTCTGTATCTTAAAACATATATAAATACTTTTTTTTTGCAACCTTTGTCTTTGTTTCTTATGCACACAACAGAAACATCCAGTGTGCCAATGCAAACTGTTATGTGATCAAGGGAAGCAGAAAAGGTGACGCGGTGGCAGACAGTGCGACCTCCACTAAAGGTTCTGTCACAGTAATAAATACAGCATCAAAATCTTGATTAAAAAAAATCTCCTCACAGCAGGTCGTCTAACAAGAGACAAACAAAAGCGGAAATATTTGCTTGTGTGATAGCCTGAGGAGAATTAGGTGGGTGGTATGAAAGCGGCGTGAGTGAGAAAAAGAGTTAGAAGGACAGACGGAGCAGATACTGCAGGGGCGGTGGTCCAAAACAGCAGCAGTACCGTTCCCCACTTCTCTCTGTATTGATTGGAATGAGCTCCCTGTGAGAGATCTAGATCAATGAGGCCATAACAGTCCATCTTCTCAGTCAGGAGCCACTACCGGCCTCTTATCTCTCACTCTGTGTCTCTGACCCACACACAAACATGCACAACGACACACAACCAGGCCTTTCCTTCCACATTTCATCTCACTGATGCAGTCACCCACGTTAGAGGGTATACCTTTAAGCTGAAGACTACATTTTATTTCATTATTTAAAACAAATCTGTTTATGCGATAAAGGACAATTTGACAATTCCAATCCAATTTGACCTTTTTTACTCTAAAAGGTAAGGAAGTAACATTTCATATTCAATACTTA